CCCTGGAGGGGCAGCCTCTCACCCCCCGGCCAGCGCCCGCCGGGGCCAAACCCTGTCCGCACAGCGCGGGGGGACAGAGACACTCCTAAAACAAGCCCCTTGCTGCCTGGGCCTCTTCCAGTGCAGCCCTCCTCTGGGGGGGGACACCGCCCTTTGGCCCGGGAGTCCCCAGGGCGCACAGGGAGCTTCCCTCCCTGGCATCAGCCGGGGCTTTCATGTCAGTTGGCTGCAGGTTCCTGTGTTTCCCCTTCTCTCGGCACGGCCCGGGCTCCGCTCCAGGCTGGCATGAGAGCAGTCCCGGGCCCGCCTGCCCACACTTCCCCTTCTCCTTGCACTGCCCACCTGCAGCCCGCCCTGTCCCCTTCCCAGCTCGTGCCTGTAGGGACCAGCGTGCACAGCCAAGTCACCGGCTGCACCGGCACCCTCTTCTATTCCCCCCGCCTTCCCCCAAGTGGTAGAAGTACTGCCCAGGGCTGATCTAGGAGCCCACAAGCCCTGTGGATCCATCTTCTTCGCCCCTTGCCCTTCCAGTGGTTGGGGTGTTCTGCAGGCGTCAGAGCCTTGGCCTTTTTTGATCTTCCACTCCGGCTCTGAGTCTTGGCTGCTGGCTCCCAAAGACAGGCTGCTGCAGGTCTGCTGCTAGGGTTGAGGCCTCGAGGTGCAGTAGCTTCCAGCCACGTGAGTGCGCCCTTAAGACAACAGTCAAGAATCAGGCGCATTAGCAGGGCTATGCAAAAGATGGTAAGAGAGTGGGACCTGATTCAATGGGGCACATTCAAGATGGCACACCTGATCTTTAGTGTAGGGAAGAGGTGCGTCACTTCTTGGTTGCATACACATTGCAAGCGCCTCGGGGTAGCATCCTTGTGTCTGTGAAGCGACTTGAAATACAACTACCAGACACCCTTGTGGTTGCGTTCCCAGGTGAATACTAATCATTCTTTCCATTGGATTGCTTTAATCCAAACCCGCTATACATTTCGAGATCAGTAGAACCAATATCTGAAAAATACATCAGTTTCCTGTCTGTGATTCTTCCAAACTCCATTTTCTCATTTAGAGCAAAAAAACTAGCCTCAGGCATTAACTGTCAGAGCTTCAAAGACACCTTTCTCATCACGTTTCTCAGGGCTTTCAGAGGGAAGATAATTATCGTTCTATGTTTTAAAATCATTGGGCTTGAACTGTTCAGCAGCAGGTCGCGTCTCTTCACCACGATTGGCACTTGGATGTCAACCCACTTGCTGTAGACCGTCTCCGCGGAAATCGTCCTCTGCCTTTTTCGGCCTCAGTTTCTCTGGATCTCCTCTCTTCTCTGGCCTTTGAGAGGAATTGCATGCCTTGATGATAGCTATTTCTGAGCGCGTTGCTGCCACTGTGTTTTCCTAACTGCTATGGCTAAATAATGTTTAAACCTCTCAGCCTCTGCACGTGCCTTCTCTCTGCTACACCTTTTTAGCTGCTTAATGGCGAGGTTTTTCTTTGAACTGCACCATTTTTCAATGCTCTAATTTTTCACCCGAGAACCGTCCAGTTGTTGCATTTTTTTTTTTTCGGATGATGTTCTTTGCCACATTAAGTGAATTCGCAATTCATCTCTTTTCACAGCTTACATGACATTTTCCCCCGTCCTGGATAGAATCTCTTGCCATATTTAACTCTATACATTTATTTTCCACTGCCCACTTGAATGCAACAGGCGCTGAAGTGACTGCATATGTAGTTGAAGAAAGTATTACAGTTCTTTAAAGAAACAGTGAGTGGTCTGAGTTGACACATCACCACAGCCTAGTAGATTAAATTTCTTCCGTTGTTGTAATTAATGAGTCCCTCTTTTCTATGCCACCATGGCCAGTTCTAAATGCTTTTTGTTCTACAATATGATTATCAGACTCCATGGATTGCTGCCCAACTTTTTTGATGTTCCAAAACAAGGATGGTTCTTCTTTGAATTTTAATACACAACCACTTCCTCCACCTTCCCAGTAAAATGTTAGTAATTAACTCCCTATTGCTTTTGGCCCTGACTTAGTAATTAGCTGGCTTTCATTTAGTTTGTGTTGGATACTGCAGTTGGTCAGTACTTCTAAAGATTGAGTCGGTGTGCCTGAGAAAGGAGCCTGGAACGGATTTGGTACTGACTGACAGCATTCTCCCAAGCCGTCCATCTAGCATTTATTCAGAATAAATGGCACTGTATCTGCCAAGCCTCTGCTGCATCTTACTGGAAGAGGTGGGTAGTGATCATTCACCATCCGTTCATTACAGTTCAGAAAATCGTAATATGACTGTGCAGAGAACTCTTTTTACGTGGAGACACGGATTGGTTTTACTTCCTGAAATGTACCTACTTACGGTGCCTTTGTAGCCAACTCCACTCGGGCACGATGCCAGGGCAGGAGACCAGAACCAGCATCCTGCAGGGCTGTGTCCAAATCCAGCCTGTCTGCCACCATGCTCAAGATGGTGCTTACCCAGTATGGTGACGCCCAGACGAGATGTGAAAGGAATCCCTTCTCAGGAACACATTTCCTACTTGGTAAATGTGGTTTTAAACGATCATTTCCTATTTCTATTAAACTGTTTCCACAGCGAAACCCCGCTGTCTTCCTCACAGGCTAAATATTTCCATTGGTCCATTGGTCCATTAGTCTAGTTTTCCTTGGTTCATGGCTTTTTCTGGATTAAGTGAATCTGGTGGTTCCTGAGACATTTTGCTTTGCCTTTAAGATGTCAGTTTACATGCAAGCTAGTGCCTCCTAAGATGCGAAATAGCAAGCCAGCCTAAAGGCTCCCTTGGTCCAAATCCTGAGGGAACCCCGAACAATCTTAGTCTTTAAATGTTTGTTTTAATGTCATAGACTGGTTTCTTCTGGCATTCATTCTTTTAAATTCTCAATTTACATCATCCCATCTCTGAATGCTATAGCAAAGAGTCTATCCCCATACAGTCAGGTATAAAAAAGAGTAACAAAAAAAACCCAAATATATTATAGCGCTGTCCATTTTTAAGTACAGATAGAGGTTTTAGAGGGGAAAACAGGAGAGTGCAAGAAATCAGGTATCATAGAGAGGAAGAAGGAAAACAAAGTTATTAGCAAGGTATCAAGCAAGACTGCCTTGGGGAAAAAAATTATTATGCCATGATTTAGAAATGGCAAGACAATGCAAATATGTTAAGATACGAATATGTCTCTTTATTAAGGACATTTTAGCCTATGGTAATGCCTTTGCCCTACTACACAGGTCTGTGTATCCTGACAATAGGAATATTCCTGCTAGATATCACGGAGCCAAGCTGAGCGTGGCGGTGCCTCCTTTTCCATAGGTCACGTCCCTGCAGCGAGGTGAACACACGCACACTCGGGGCTGGGGGAGACGAGCTTCCTCTTCTATTCAAACCTGTTTTCGTGTTTTGCCTGTGTCTTCTCTGATGTAGCCTTTCCTGAAGAGACGTATTCAACCCCCGGCACGACTCAGCAGACCTGTCCTTTTAACCAGAGCTACTGTACTGACCGACTTTCCCATTTTGAAGCCGAGCAGTGATAGATTATTAATTGGTGCCCAGCTTGCTTCATGCAAAGGTGCGGGGGGGGGGGGGGGGGGGGGGGGGGGGGG